AGGAGTCCGAGCAAGACCTTTCAGCTCTTGACTGTCTGTTTTGCCAGACCTGGGCTTATCAGCGGCTTGCAGGTTTCTTTGTGCTGTGCTTTGCTCTGTGGTGTTGGATATTTGGCATTGCATCTCGGGAGCTCTGACACCTTCTAAACACACTTTGTGAAAGAAGCCTTCTTGCTGATAAGCCTGAACTTGGAGGTTCAGGGATAGTCAAAAATGGGGTGATAAGTCCCCTAACATGGGTTATAAGTATATATAGTTACCCTACTTATAACCCTACTTATAACTACCCCTGAACCTCCAAGAACCCCCTTTCAACCCTGATAGCCCCCGACCCCCGGACTTTGCGTCTTGCAGCAACAACGGCAACTTCGTACCTGTCAGGGCGCAGAGCCCTGATCCTCACACCGTAGGTGCCAAACCCTCGGCCCCAAATGTCCAGATGATCTGTGGGAGAGTTTGCAATAGGGGTTAACCTCTATAAGGATTGCAATAAGGGTTGGTTATGTTTTGGACTACTATGTAAGGGTTACTATAGCCGTCACTGTACGGGAGTGGGGAGTCGACAAGGGCTTTTCCACCGAGGCGGCAGAAAAGGCGCTGGTGGAAGCAACAACTGGGTCACTGCAAGTCATCGTTGTATCGAACGAAACCCTAAACCCTAAAGATTTGTTTTAGAGCGTAGCAAATTTCAATCAACAGATTTCCGATGGTCGAACGGAGCTTGCTACATCCGCGACAGATCCCAAAGATGTCGTGGAAAGTTCGAACGCGTGGTGCGGCGCTGAGGGGTTTCAGGCATCCACATGCACGGTGCCATGGTGGGATGTGGCCTACATGTGTTGCCTTCGTCCCAGGCACTCCTACACCCTAAACCCTATAGACCCTAAACCCTAAACACTCGACTTGCTATGTGCTGCCGAGGAAGTTCGCGTTGGCGGCCTGTGCTGCGCTGATCGTGGTGGCAGCTCCTTGGGCGAAAGAACTTGGAGTCTTAAGCTGAAAGCCTGCATTTCGTTGGACAAGACAACTTACAAGGCATGGAGCCTTCGAGCTTGGCGGGCTGACATGTTGGGCTTGGGGAAGTGACAAAGATACGGTATGAGACCACGAAAAAGACCACCCCCTCGTCTTGCTTCCAGCTATCGCAACATCTCAAACCCTCATAGCTAATGTCGGGGCCTAAATATTTACCTAAACTATTTTTGTGGTGGGATTCCTTGTTTTAACTATAGCAGAATATACCGCCAAACCCTATGCTAGTTATAGCCCATTTATTAAGCCCCCCTATAATAGGTGTGGCAAGCCTCTTATGGATGGTCTCTGTGCTTGTCGACATCCAACTGCTGACCAGTCTGCAACATATGCCAAAGCACATGCACACACACACACACACACCACAAACACACACACACACACGCACACACACACACACACACACACACACACACACACACACCCACACGCACACGCACACGCACATGCACACGCACACGCACACGCACACGCACACGCACACGCACACGCACACGCACACGCACACCCACACGCACACGCACACGCACACGCACACGCACACGCACACGCACACGCACACCCACACGCACACGCACACGCACACGCACACGCCCACGCCCACGCCCACGCGCACGCGCACGCGCACGCGCACGCGCACGCGCACGCGCACGCGCACGCGCACGCGCACGCGCACGCGCACGCGCCACCCACACTACACGCACACGCCCACACACAACGCACCACGCACACGCACACACGCACACACGCACAGCACACAACACGCACACGCGCACAAACACGCGCACACACGCGCACACACGCGCACGACCCACGCGCACACACGCGCACACACACGCGCGCACACGCGCACACACGCGCACACGCGCACACGCGCACACGCGCACACGCGCACACGCGCGCGCACGCACACACGCGCGCACGCGCACACGCACACGCACACGCACACCCGCACACCCGCACACCCGCACACGCACACGCACACGCACACCCACACACGCACACGCACACACACACGCACACCCACACACGCACACCCACACACGCACACCCACACACACACACACACACCCACACACACACACACACACCCACACACCCACACACCCACACACCCACACGCCCACCCACACACACACACACCCACACCCACACACACACACACACCCACCCACACCCACCCACCCACCCCCACACACACACACACACAAACGCACACACACAGGCGGAGACACCCACCTACCTACCGACCGACCTGCATACATGCATACATCCATGGATGCATACCTACGTGTGTGTGCATTGGTGTCTCTTTGTTTGCTTTTCATATCGCAGTATCACGTTGGTGCATATCCGAGGTGTTCTTTTGGATGCCAGGGGCTCAGTTTGCTTGTGACTCTCGCATTTCCGGAGGGATTCAATGGTTAATATCCTTCAGCGATTTTGGGGTTTAGGCTTAAAAGAGGGCGCCCTGGGCTTATTCCTTGTGGATCAGACCGCTGGATACCTCGAGATTTGTTGATGTCGTGGTTCTCGGTTGAGGGCGGACCGTTGAGGATCCGGCATGCGAAGATATGCGTCTGGGTTTCAGGAGTTCGGGTTTAGGGGTTCTTGTGCGGTGTTGAGGCTCTACAGCGACAGCCCGTTGTATCTGGGGGCCCCCCAAAGCCCTTCAAAGTTTTATTTGGACCCTTCCGGCACAAGTTTCCGCAAGATGCCACAAGATATCACTTTCGTGGCTGAGGATGACGGCAGAGCAAGAGTTCGAACTAGTTTCCGGTTGGTTGTACGGCGGAAGTCGATACAACTGCTTACTGACTGCTTAGCATGTCCGAGACCCGGAGAATTATCCAAAAAAGCAAGACAGTGGTTATGTGTATGTATATATATATATATGTACAGATACATATATATATATATATATATATATATATACACACACACACACAGTTAAGTAGGTGCATGCCAAAAGGGCCGCGTCGACATGACTCTGCGCCCCAAAAGCGAGAAATATAAACAAACATGCATACATACGTGCATATATACATACATACACATGGGCACAAACTTCTATAGAGCTTAAACCCCAACCCAGTCCAGGTACCGCGACAACCAACGAAGGCAAACACCGGACCGGCGTTCTCGGATGGAGGAAGGGGACGGGCGCTCCCTGCACCAGTGCCGAAAGTGGTTAGGGCTTTGGGTGTTGTTTGGGTCTAGGTTTACATACCTCGCCACCACCCTAGAGAGTTCTATTTCCTTCAATCTCCGATCTAAGGCAAATGTCACGGATGTGAAGCGGCTAGCTTGTGAGACTTACAAGCAGCTACTGTTTGGGCTTCAGCGGACGACCGCGACTTCGAATGCTCACTTGGAGCGTTCATGTCTGTGGGTCCGGCAGGCCGGACCTCTCCCCAAGCTCAGCCTGGCTGACACTCCTAGGGTTTTGGGTTGGGGGGTTCCTGCTTTAGGGTACCCGAAAGCAAGCGCTTACTGGAGTCCTGGAAGACCCTAAAGCAAGCCCTTGCGGTATAGTCCTGGAAGAAGATTAGAGCTGCATGGTTGTGGTAACGGTTGTGGTAAAAGTGTTGAGCGCTTCTTCTCAGTGGCTCGGGTTCTGTGTCCTCAGCGCGAAGAGCAGGATCATTAAATAGATAGCTGTTGAAGACGGTGAAAATCATGGTGCTTCCGTGGTTTTAGGGGCTGCTGGTGATGATAATGAGGAGGAGCAGGAGGAGGAGCACTGTCATGGAGGTGGTGATGTTGGAGATGATTGAAATAGGTTCTTCTAGTTCTAGTGGTGATCACGGTGGCACTCAGTAGGGCGATGGCCGCAAGACGGTGCCTATACGGCTATAAGTTATAAGTACCGTGAGGAGGAGCTTCAACACCGGATTTGTGAAAGCACTCTGAATGTTTGTCTACCTTCCCGTTGTCTGTGCAAGCGAGATGTCTGATCGGCCAGAGCAATGTAGTCATTGAGGTTACAGCGATTGTAGTGTGTCAGCCCGACTGAGCCAAAAACTTACCTTCGGTTAGTAGGGAATGGAGGAATGGGGTGCAATTATAAATACTATTACTACCATTCTTCCATTCCCTACTAACCAGAGGTAAGAGTACAGTATGTCAGCGCTGCTGATCGCTTCTCCCCTTGCCCCGAGCAAGAAGACTCAGACTCCCCGGCCTAAAGCCCGGATGTTAGATTTTCTAGTTGTGGTTTCACAAGACCAGGGGCCAGGGGAAAAATTCTCGGAGAATTTCCTAAGCAGGGCTGTTCAGTGCAGTACCTATATACAGCAGGCTCAAGATGGCGACGACACGAAGTGTCCTGCTCTGCGACTGAGGTTTCTCCAGTTGAGTGGATGATAAATGCATGGCAATACGTAATAGTACATTCGGGTACATTTTGCGTGTCGAACTGCTAGCATAACTGTAGGATCCTTTAGGAAATGCCAGCTATGCTAAACTTCGATAGACCCGGGCAGTTGATAAGCGACCGGGATTGAGTTCCCAGCAGTGCTTCATGGCAAAATGCTTCCCTATTGTTCTCGGCCTCCGTATGCCCTTGATGCCGAGCCAGTCGCAGAGATGTTGCCATTGCCGGCTCCATCGCTTTAGTCCAATCCTTGGCGAACTACAGCTTCAGACACGCGCGCGGAGATACAAAATGAAGGGGGCCGTGGCTGGGAATTGAGAACGTTAGCGGGGCAAGATGGTCAAAGCAGACTCTGGAATTACGGGAAGCGCCTACAGCCCCGCGTATGGGACTGGGACGTCGAATCTCAATCGGCCTGCGTTCGTGCTAGTTTGTCCTGTCCGGATGTTGCTTTGATGTGGTTTCTTTTTCGTGTGAGTGTGGGAGAGGGAGGGCTACTAGGGGAGTGCACTTCCCGCAGCCTTGTTGTCGACATGCCATCTGCGGTTGCCTTCGGCGAGGCTTCAGACTTGGTGTGTTTGAATGCACAAAGGTGCCACCCTCTCCCGGTGACAAACCGGCCTGGGTGCCGAGCCTAGCGTTGTTCTGGGAGCCAGGGTTTTGGGATGGTTTCGGGTTATAGCTGCTCAGGGACTGGACATGTTGTGGCAGAGCACCACGGATAGACTGAGGTCCTTGAAGGATCATGGGTGGCTTACTTAAGGGTTTTGTTACATTGCTTCTAAGGTTCTAAAGCCTCTGCTTGAGCTACAGCCCAGGAACCCTACTGTAATCTGCCTTTATTTAAATGTGTGTATATATAAGAAAATATGAACATGTGTATATGCACATTTCTATCCTCTATGCTACCCTCCTATCCACAGGGAAGCCATCTGATTGAGAGCTCCATGCTTTGTGTGTCGGCTTCTAATATAGAGGCCTTAATAATTGCCTATACTATTGTGGGGGACTCCTTATTATGACTATAGTATAATGGGCCCCCCCATACCCTATTCTAATTTTTCGCTCCGCGCAGACCAAGCGCCCAGACTTCATTTGATGGGGGGGGGAAGCGGGGAGGGGGGGGGGGGGGCGGGGGTGATGACGTGCTTGGGAAGCGAAGTTTCTCTTGCATGGCATATACTACAGGAGTCGGAGTATTTAGCAATGAAGAATACTGTTTCTGAGGGTTCTTTGATTATAGCTAATGGTACGTAATGGTAACATGTAAGGATATACCCCCAATGCCCTGTTCGGATTATATATATATATAACCGATGAAGGACCGGCGCATAATAAAGGGTTGGAGGTGTTGATTCCCGGTCGTAGCCCACCAGGGGGAAAGGCATCCAGCATTTCTACATAGTGTTATTTCTACCCTTGTATCGTAAGATCATCGAAGGGGAGAGTGTGCAGCCTGAAATTAAACCGTTCAGCCAGTACATGAGTACACCTCAACCCTGAGCCCAGGCATCTTCGTCCAGAGATAAGTCTTTCCACACCGGCGGAGTTTCTTCCGAAGTTTCTCAACGGTAACGGCTACTCCATTACTTCTTACCTGGATGGGTGTCTTATAGATGCTTAAAGGAACAACAAATGTCTAGCCCGGTAAATGCTCAGGCGCCACAGCCGCCAGGTCCACCACCGTGAGTGCGCGGGATCAAGAAACATGGCAACAGTGGGTAGGAGCCTATAACTAATTACCAGTACTATTGTGGGGGCTCCGTATTCTAAGTCTGGTATTATATGTCCCAGAACCCCCATTCTAATTATCAAGGCCCCTATACTACGAGCCTTAATGTCACGCGGCAGGTTCTACGATTTCGTTCAGCACCTAGAGAAACAAGTTGAGTTGAGGCTCCAGAGCTCGAAGCATAACTCAACATCAGTACATAGACCTACTTGCAGGTTCAGGTGTAGTCATAAGTTGGGTTATAAGTCCCCTAGTCTGAGTTATAAGTACATTTACCCTAATTATAACCCTACTTATATCTACCCATGAACCTCCAAGTACTTACACCTAAGCCACTGAGCGTCAGGCTACGTCCCAACTTCATGAGACGCGTGCGCGACTCCAAAATGTTGGCTGCTCCGTAGATCCCCCAGCCTCGGGCCACTAAAGCCAAAGCCCCAGGTCGTGTAGCCTATATAGTGCTCCTTGCCCAACCAAAACCCGAAACCAAACACGTCGCGAAAGTGCTCCATCCTTGGCTGTTGGTTTGGTTCCTGTTTATTCGTGTAATCAGCTCGCAAGCTGTGGTGTTTATGTTATGCTTAACTGGACTCCGAAGCCCTGAACCCTCGCAAAAGGGCTGGTTGCTTAACAAAGACCCAAACTGACATAAATCTAAGCCACAGTTCAGCTGGCCCAACACTGAGCCTACGCCCTGGATCAGGCCCACCCAACTTTTCGTTGCTTGCCGTCGTGCTCTCTTGTCGCTGGCTCGAGAGCTGCAAGAAATTCCAGCAAAAAGCAATGTCAACCCCAAACTTAGGAACATGGCCTGCGTAGTATACTCAGCCTTCCCTGTAAGCCGACACCTTGCAGACGCTTCCATCCCAAAAACCACCAGCATTGAAGCGCATGTGCGGCACTTCTACGCGGTCTAGACTTAGACTACAGATGGACAGGTTTACATCCCAATGTTGCCATAGGCCTGGTTGGAGAAGCAACACTTGAGGAGAGTCCCGAATTGAGCCAGCACTGTAGTCAATATAAGGTCCGGGCGGGGGTATGAACACATTGCTTGCCGGCACATGGTCGCTGATCTCTTCCTCCGAGGCTATGTTGACTCTTCGCCGAGCTTCTAAGGGTAAATGAGGGGCACCATTCAGGCCGCGGCAGTAATCCCTTCCCCTGAACATTCAATCCCCCCCTAATATAAAAACTGCCGGCTCCCAGAATTTCGCGGTTTCGGGCCCCGCATTCAATTTAAAAGGGACAACATTAGGGGGGTGGCAGATCTGTATGTGTTTTAATTGAAGGAAGACTACCGTAGTACTAAAGAGAGCAGAGCTTTAGGGTTTAAGGGTTTAGGGCTGAGGGCTGTCTGGTCTGTCTACAGCCGGAACGGCTGCGCAGGAATTGCTCGCTGTTGACTTGTCTGACTGTAATTAATTATTTACTCACGAACTCATATAACTACGTGGATGCCGAGGGCTTAAGCTTTAGGGTTGAGGGCTTCAGGGACTTAATTAGGGCTCAGAGCTTTCGGGCTCTAGCCGTCTGACTGTCTGGCTGCCTCATTATTCCTGTCAGTCCGACTCATACCCGCAGGACCCGAAACCCTCCCTAATACAAAAACTAAACCTCCGAAATCTAGTTTGTATATTAGGGGGAGGGGGGGGGTTTTAATATTAGGGGGAAGGGATTAACATCTCAAGATGTTGGGGGGTGCTTCGCGATAAAGCTGTTCCTTCGACACAGTGCAGAACTGCGAAATGTTTCGAAAGTCTGTCTTCGGTTTCGTAGCCAGCCCCCAAGTTTTCAGATAGCAGCGATGCAGGCAGTGCACTTGTGTTCCTTCGAAAAGGCTCCCATGCTGCCTGTGACTATGCAAGGCCCCGTAGTCCCGTAAACTGCAACGGATCATCAAGCCACCAAGACATTCTGGGATCAGCAGGGATGGCCGTTGCCATTGTCAGGGTGTGGCGAAACAGCATGGGAATTGACTCCGATACAGGCAGAGTGGTTGGGGAACCTGGCTTCCTCGCCCTCCACCAGAGAACATTGTAACACATGACGCAGTGCAATCTGTAGAACAGCCATAGCGCCATAGGACTAATACTCCTGTATACGACTCACCGTACCCAGCACTGACACTACTAGCAATTCTCCTCGTACCCCGTCATGGCACTGGTACAGTAGCAAGACTCCGCAGTACTAGCTACACCATTGATGAAGATACAAGTGATCGGCAAATTACTCAAGACCGACGCGGCATGTTATCGGTCCTTCTGGTGCCGCTGACCTCATGAAAGAACCATCCGCAAGATACATGTCTTGAGCAGGAAGTCATCTCTCGGGCACGCCGCGTGTCCCAGCGAATCCAAGGATTCCTCGAGCAGGACCCCTACATCCCTTGAGGAGTCGACCGGGGCTTATGTACATGGGATAAGACATTGAAGATCTTATACATGTGTATGCGTATGTATACGACATGTGTGCTAGTGTGTGTGTGTGTGTGTATGCAGTGTATTCGTAGCTATAGATACATCAGTTATAAGAAACTTTCAGTAAACCAAAAAACTACCCTACGCAAGCCATGAGCCCCGCGCGCAAGCCCAAAACAACTACAAGCCCGATCGATGCACCCAGGCACCCCAAGCGCTTAGATCCTAAGCCCGCAACCACGAAGAAAACTCGAGATCGTGCACCGAAAAACCTTGATTTGAAAGGACTCAACAAGCAGATGACGAGCAAAAGAAGAACATCCTACGCTGTACCCCTAAACCCTAAAACCCTAAACCCCTATGGCTCAAGCAAATTGTGCATTGCAGAACATTGGCTGCGTGCTTGCTTTCTGATCTTCGCTGGTCAACATGGCTGCGCCGACACCTACGCCGCCGCCTGTGCCCCCTCCTCCTGCACCGCCATCATCGAACAATGATCCTCAACCCTTGACAGGCGGCATTCTCTCGTCTGCCATTAGAAGGGGTGCCTCCACGCTCGCCCTGCGACAGCGTGACCATCAGGCTGTGGCGTCGGCCATCACAAATGTTGCCACTGGCGCCGTGACGCTTGGCCGCGACCCGACCGCCGGTACTGCATCCCAATATGCCGGCACGATTGGACCTCGTCCTGCCGCCTTAGACGGAATCACGATTCCGATCGTAACTGCCACGAACGCCGATGGCACCACGGCCACCGATGGTGATTACAATGCAGCCTGCCAGACCGTCGGCAGGTTGGCTTACATTGGCCTGACATCGAATGGCTTCACGGACGACCAGTATGAGCGTTTGGCCCTGGCATTTCTTGCAAACACCTTCAGCGTGCAATTTGATAGACTGAGCCAAGCGGTTCTCCAGTCCGGGTTGAATTTGGACTACCACGAAGTCTTCACAAGCACCTCCGACAGAATCAACACAATCATTGTTGCAGGCGCTGGAGATCCAGGCTATGAGGCTACATTCACCAGGCGCTTTGACCGAATCTACGGATTCGCACCAAGCGCGGACATGATACGCCGGGCGTCTGCGAATTCAGACAGAATCACCAGTCAGTCGAGCAGCGAAGCTTCGGCCATGTTCGTCTTGCTGGTGGACGCCGATGCGAAGGATAGCGCTGAGAGCGTGTATGGTCGATACATGCCTCGGCGTGTGCGGGCCGCAGTGAATACGGTGCTCCGCATCAGGAGGATTGGAACGCCATCAGCCGCAGCAGAATTCCTCCCATATCCAACACACACACACATGCTCTGCAGCGTTACGAGTTTTGAGCGGAGTAAGAGGCGGCATACGAGAACTCTTCATGGCGAATCTCGTTGGCATGTCCCGCAGCACTGATCCTAGGACTGTTGCATTGTCCAGACTTTACTTGGACAGACTCATGCCCTACACCGACTCAACGTGCTTGTCAGTGTTGCAGGAGTTCGTCATCACACATGCTCCTGAGGTTCTGTATCTGCCCATCATCCGGAAAGAGGTGACATCTTTGACCAAGTTCTACTCTGCGAACAGAGTCTCGGCCGATGATGCATCCTCCCGGGTTCCTCTTGCAACCTACTTGCATGAGGAATCTGCTCATCTTGTTTTGAACAGAGCTGCATGAGACCTGGGGGATGTACGAGTGAGTACCGAGGTGAGTGGCGCGGATAGTGTCGTGTGTAGGTGACATGCATGCTTGTCCAGACAACTCGTGTAGTTTCCGGAAATCGCCTAATTTTGCATGGTTACTGGTTTCACGATACGGTTGTACAGTCTTCATGTGCGTGCTGCACTTCCCTTTTGTCGTCTGGTGCTTCAAGCACTTCCTTGTTGTATACTAGTTTTGAGGGCTCCAAGCATTCCGTCATCTGTGGCGCTAACTTCTGTTTTGAGTTGACTCCTTCATCGGGGATGCCTGGTGTACCTCGCTCCTCCAATGCGAGGGGTCTTTTCTGCCTGCCCGATAGCTGGTTTTACGTGGCACTACTTTGTGTTGGGCTGTTGTTCTTTTGGCTGTCGGGTAGGCCCTCTAGTCTCTCAGTTCGCCGACTTAGCACCAAGAACCTCGTCTGGCATGTCCGAGTTGCGAGAGCGTAAACCCTAAAACCCTAATACCCTAAACCCCCAACCCCAAAACCCCAAACCCTAACCACCAAAGCCGAAAAGCCACCTCAGGTGCTCGCAAGATGAACTCAGCCCGGAGGAGCTGAAATTTCTGGGGCCAGAGCCTGAAATTTGATGTGCGCTGAGGGGCTTCATGAGAGTAGGAGTCCTTATAGTAGCCCTTATAGTTACCCCTTTAAAGGAACCAATGAAACCCTCTTCTTTTCATGAAGACCCCTATATGAACAGTTTATAGAAGCCTCTTGGTCTAGGTCAACAAGAGTTGATGAGGGGTATATTTTAGAAGGAGCCCCGACCCTGTAATAGTGACTATAAGGATTATATTAGGGCCCTATTATATTCCTATTATACCACTATTACAGGGTGGGCCCCTTCTAAGGTATATTGCTAAGGGCAAAAGTGTAGGGGGTCGAGGTTCATGAGTTGATGGAGTCTCGCGGGTTCCGTTCTTTGAACCACTTGGAGGTTCATAGCTAGTTATAAGTGTGGTGTAGTAGGGTTTATAAGTAGGTTCAGTATACTTATAACCCATATCAGGGGACTTATGACCCCGCTTAGAATTCTAATTAAACCCCTATAAAGCCTTAAACCCTATAAACCCTCTAGAGCCCTTCAGGGAACCCTGAATCCCTTAAAACCCTAATTACTTATAACTACCCCTGAACCTCCAAGCATGGAGTCGCAGAGAGTGGAGCTCGGGTCGAGGGCGGATTGTGGAGGTGCGATGGATGCCTTAAAAGCGCGTGACGGGTTGTGTCTAGAAGTGTCAGCTTCATGTGTTGTCAACGGCGTACTGACGCTTCTTGAATAACCATACATATATATATATATATGACTATGGGATATTGTTTGCTTTGATGAAGCTACTAGGTAATGGTAACTACAAGAAAGCAGGCACAACAGAACAGTCCAACGCTGACTCAGAATCTCAGGTAACAGTTAACAGCACCTGCAAGAACCCCCTCTAAACCTCGAACTCAAAACCAACGCTTCAGTGAAGTCCGGTCCTTGGATCTCTTTGATGGAACCCTCGCCATAACATGGTACTGGTAGCTTCAGAGGACGACGGCAGCCGTTTGACCTTGGATCAGGGCTCAGGGCGCTGAAGGTCGATTCTGTAGCGTTTCTAGGGCCATAGCCAATCTAGAGTACAACCTTGAAGGTTGAGCCCAGAGCCCACACAGCTTATTGAACCTTAATTACAGGCCGTATGATTTTATATATATATATATATATACACAGAGAGAGAGAGAGAGAGAGAGAGAGAGAGAGATAGAGAGAAAGAAAGAAAGAAAGAACGAGATACTATCTGTTTCTTGGGCCTGTAGAGTTTAATCAGGTGAATTTAGGGTTTCTGTTGTTTAAGCCCATAATTAGGGCCTATAGATGCCTCAAAACTTCAGCCGCGCTTCAGGTTTTGAATTTAATTTGTGTACAGGAGTCCAAGCCATGGATGCCGGCCGCAACTGCTGGACAGACGATGGCGCTGTTCTGCGCCCAGTGTTCCGTGATGCGTGCCTTGCGGACCCGAGGCCAAGATGTTCCCTCGTCGGTAGATCTACCGCCTCCAAGATGTGATGCCCACATAGAAATCTACTAGCAAGGATCACCAAGGCAGAGCATTTTTGTACATTCGTAGGTAGCAGGCCCAGTCTAATTATATCGTCGAAGTGTCAGTGGCTGGGGCGAGCTGCAGTTCTTTTGCCGGGCGCGAGCTGTGTCAGCTACCTCAGGTTCACTACATTGAGCTGACGGTTGTGCTGCTTTCAGGTGCCTGCTCAGTAAGCACACACTTATGTAGGAATGTCTTGGGGGATTTGCCGTCACAAACATGGTATGCACCCGACGGCAGTAGCCAGCGACGCCCATGCTCTTGTATGCTGAGCAGGTCAAACCGTCGCCCACTGCATCGCAGAGGATTCGCTGAGCGCAGAGCACCTCAAGATCCACGTCGAGGAGGCTGCAAACGAGCCCGGAACAGTTGTGAGTCAGCTGACTCTTCCCTGCATTCGAACATCGGTTTGGGTGATTGTTCGCGATGTGTTAGCGTCTAATTACTTCGCTGTCGAGTTTTTCGGTTTCGCGGGCAAGTAGACTTAGCAAGCTGTGAAGGGCAGTATGTCGGACAAGGCCAATCGGTTTTCCTATTTCACCCTGCTGATTTGACCCAGGATTTGGGGCGACATGGTATTACAGGGAATGGTCACACTGAAGGATTTGGGGATGTCTGGTCATGAGCAGCTAGTTGCCATTTGTACCTTCGTTCTGGAGGGCCAGTTCGAGAGCTATGATGTCACGAACACCTGTGAGTGTTGTTTCCACGGCCGGGAGAGACGGCTCCTCTTCCGAGCAAACGGAACCGGAACATACTGGCAGGCGACAGTGTATGAGTACGAGGACGATGTCGATTTCACAGCAGACCAGGGACACACCTTTCGCTATTCTGTTGGAGCCTTGCAGGAGGGCGTCAGCGGATTGGAGAGGTGTCTCCAGTTTCTCTGGGACCACGATAGCGATGGGCAACACACTGACAATATCACGGCCAGGCAGCTTCCGTGCTTTCACACCGCGGCCTTGCTTCTTCACCCTTCTGACGACTTACGAAACCGTCTGCGGATAGGGGAAGCGGTCTTCGTAGACACTCGGCGCTTGGCAAAGCGGGGTCGTCATCTCCGGGATGAGATCACCGATCTGCAGATCCTTCGCTCTGACATTATGTATCGGATCGAGATGCAGGAGCCCCTGATCCCAGCAACGGATCCTTGGTTCGAGGCCACACCGCCTTGGATTCATTGGCTGGATGCATTGAGCCTATCAAACAATCGACGACAGGCGGGCATATCTTCAGTGCCTTGTTCATACACCTGTTGATCCCAGAGTTCGTTTCTCGCCTTAGTCTTCCACTGTTGAGTTGGCTCGGCAGCTCACTTCTTACCGAAGTGATTGATAGTTCCTTCCACGAAGAAGGAGGGAAGAGAAGCGCAGTGCTGAGAGGCAAACATGTTCTCGAAACCCCACACGCCCTATGGTTAACTCTCTGCAAGTCTTCAGTGTGTCCCGCACGGAAGGCCGCCGTCAAGAGCCGACATCAAAGCCTCCAGCTGCAGGAGTCCCGCGAGGCCGTGCTGCGGGCAGCCCGACTGCGGCGAGCTGCAGCGCGCCGGTTGGCGAAGCAGCGAAGCCTTCAGCGAAGACACTGGGGGAGGGGCCAAAGAGCTGCTTTCTGCTTGTAAGCCTTCGGGCATTGAGGTTGTGCTTCTGCGGCAAGGCCGAGCCTGCCCTGCGCTCTAGGCTTGTGTATTGCAAGCATGTCGTGTACAGTGAAAGATAAGCTGTACAGATGGCATGCGATGCTCTGCAGAAAATTCCGCACTCGAGCAGCTTCTGTTCAGGCTTCAGGTTCGACCTTGACAGTATGGGCGGTTTGCACGATGGTCGAGAGCATGCATCGCAACTGCCACTGCCGAGGTATACAGGAAGTCCCTGCGAAACTCACTATCATACATTGTATTTTTGTATTTTGCGGCCCGCATCAGAGAAGGTGTTTGCTCCGAGACAGTGGGTTCTTTCGCAGGAGCTGCAGGTGCCATGTGGTCTAGTCTTTTGCAGTGCTTGCGCGGATACCTCTTTCGACCTCAGCCTCAAGTTTATTTCCCACCATGAGTTGGCGAAGACACTATGGGTTATTGTGTCCGACCTCGTGAGCACAACTAGGACTATGCTATCAGCTAGACTGACTTGGATTGCTCGTGTGGTGTGAAAGCACTTGACCACGGCAGATGGATGCCAACCCCTTGGGGACAGCTGAAGGTCTCTACGCTTCCGCGTGTATGGTGAGTAAATAACAATCCAGAGATGCTCCGGGTGTTCATGTAAGTACAGAATATGAAAATCCACTATATAGTTAAGTAGATGGGCAGATGTAGATAGATAATGGATAGAAGAAAGGTAGGTAGATTGATGCATGAATAGACAGATGCATACTGACATTCTGATCTTGCCGCTCCCAGAGAGCCGTGTTCCTGCGCAGCTGCATGGCGTGGGAGCAGGTGGCTTGTTCCGGCCTACCTGAACCCCAAGCTCATGCCTAGGCAATATCGAGAGTTATGCCTAGAATTGAAATTGGATATGACTGCAGACTTATAATGAGGTGCCATGAGGATCTGAGCAGTTTGGCTTGTTTTGGTTTAAATCTGACACGGTCTGGGGCCTGGGGTTCTCGATGTAGAACTCGGCGCCAGGTGCACAGTGTACAGGCAGTGTCAGGCCGAAAGGTAATGGACTTGGATGTTGAATCTGCGGTTGTGCGAAAGTGTTGTTTTCGTAAGTGAGTAAGTAAAGTAGGGCAAACAGACATGTGGGATTGCCGTCCATGGAGTTCAGATGATACCATGCTGCGGTGTTCGCAAGTCCATCTTGGTGCTGCAGGCCGTCATCACCTGGCGTGATGCAGCACTGGGAAGTTGGCTGGTGAGAACCGCAAAGAGGCCCTACTTACAACTACCCATGAACCTCCAAGCAGACCTTACTAAACCCCAAAGCCCTAAACCCTATACCGTTACCCCAAAGCTCTAAACCCCAAAGCCCTAAACCCTAAACCCCCAAAGCTCTAAACCCCAAAGCCCTAACCCCCAAACCCCACGCTTCGGGAGTTTTGTTTTTGCGTTTTCGCCTTGCTGGCTTGCGCCCGGGGCTCGGAGGCCTCCTGAGGCTCACGCCTTGGTTTCAGGGTTCCTTTAAGGGATCCTTCAATACCTGTGGAGTGGAGTTTGATGGGGAGTCATATAGGGGACCTTGGCAGTGCCAAAGACCATGACATGTAAAAGGCAGTGGGACTCAAAGACCACAGGCAAATCTATGCGGTCTTTGAGTCTTGTCTGGGCGTCTGTTGATCAAAGTGCGGAGAGTGAATAGTGCAGCGAGACCTGATGGCCCCGACTGAAGACTAACTCCGCCAACTGCTACGGCTGTTACTGGTAAGGTTTGTGAAACCTCAGACCTGAAGCATCCTGCAGCTATTAATGGCGACATCCTCTTTGTGTGTACAGGGACCCTCACAAGCAGGATTGATACTCAACCCTCGGACAATTATCATAACGCAGCTATTAACTGGACCGAAGCCTGCGCTGCCAGCAGGTTTGCTAGTGCCGGTGGGCGCAAGGAGGAGGACTTCGAGGCATGCACCGCTCTGCAACAGCTTGAGTTTGGGGCGCATTAGGCCGCTGGGGTCATCAGCGGCTCTTGAGATGCCCACAGCTTCCGAGGGTCTTGGACTTCCTTTTCTCTGCATCGGATCTCATCTTTCGCCGGAGGGATACAAGAAATAGCTGTGGTTCTCGTTGTGTTTTTCGTCTTGCTTGAGGAAGTCGAGCGGAGACACCCCAGTCCCCCAAGCAGCCTGTCAATGCTGCATGGGTTCATTTTGTTCCTTGAGGCCTTGAGGTGTAGCAAAAAAGTATGCTTCACACTGCAGCCACAGCACAGGCTGTGCAGGTCAAAGCTCCCGGGAATCGAAGAGCCTTTGCGTTGATGTGATTGCAGCACTCTCGAAGCCGAAGCCTGTTTTTTTGGGTGCCAGTTCTCATTAGCTGCTTCTCTTAGCTTTCACTCCTCTGGTGAGTCCTGCAGTCTAGGACATTCGTGGCACTATCTGAGCTTTGAGAGCCCTTGGAAAGCCCACTCAGCAGCAATGGCACCTGCTTGGAATGTTAAGTCCCTTTTCGACATGGGTGTTGTTGTCAGGGCGCTTGTGCGGAGCTGCTGTCCCTGACTCTGGCAGCTTGTCGATGCTTACCTCGACATACATATACTACTAGGTTCCAGTCTGGTTGGGTTGAGAATTCTCGGGGGAGCTCTGTGCGCGGATCCTCGAGAACTTGACGGTTGGGAGCTGCGGCCATGGGTGTCGGGCGTCATCGGTGAATCGGTGGAGTCTCACAACATGGTTCAGGCGAGGCTATCAATTTGGGAATTTCCGAAAATTAGGGGTACTTTATTTCGGGCTCCTTGTAATAAGGATCCTACTATTTAGGGTACTATATTAGGGTCCCCTATTTTCGGAAACTCCCGTTTTTTCGGCGCAAAAAGCCACCCTGATGAGCTAAAAGAGCTGGAGCCCACTTCCATCGAATCATCTTGTAGCTTCATCATGCCGAGGAGCTCTAAGTTAAGCTGCAACACCCCCCCTTCAAAAACAAAACACAAAAAACGAATATCCCTTACAGACACAAGGAGCAAAAAATCGCAAAGCCCTCGCGGCAAAAACAAGAAAAAACACCTGGACTGGCTGTGTCGGAATTGCCAGAGTATGCGCGAAACATCCTAACAACGCCCTGAAAGCAACAATGCCCCAGACCCGACATGACAAGCCATGAACCGCAGAGAACTCTGGTTTTGAACCCTAACCCCTCGGGACCTCATGAAGCCGTGCCTGGTTGCATTTTAGGATCCTATATAATTATAGAATTTGTTAAACCAAAAAAAGAAACTACAATGGAGCCTATATATATGGTAAGTTAGTACCTCGCAGACGATGTCCCCGAGCCCCGAGAGCGAGTCGAAACCTGGAAGCCCCAAGCTGGTGCTTTGAGGCGGGCTCTCCAGCCGGTGTTGCGCTGTCCCAGCCCTGGGAGGTGGGGACTAAGGGGCCCGAAAAGGCTTCTGCGGAATACCCTGCGGTTGAGGGAAGCGAGGGTTTAGGAGGTTAAAGGGCTGAGAGGGTATATACTAATTATATACTATGGGGAATTCAGCATTCAAAGAGTAAGGAGCAGGAGCCAAAGTTGAACCCAAACAAAGCCCGGGTGAGCCGGTAGCCGCCTGGATGTAGGTTTATGGGGATCCTGTCATCCGACAACCAAGAAGTTGCGATCTGACAATGTCACGAGAGGCTGGCCCTGAACCCACACCCCTGAAATCAGAGGAGTTTGCCGGCGAGATGCGCCCGCCGGACCATCCCGCCCAACGCGTGCCTTCGAACCTACAGCGATTCGCAGGCAACTACATGCAGCTTCGAAGCACGGTAGGGCCCAGGAGTAGGGCCTTCAGTTTTTGTTGTTGCGAGATGCCCCGAGGTTTGATATTGAGGGATGGTCGACGGAGGATACTTTGATTGTATGATGTTGTATGGCTTCCCATTTTCACCCAAACTTCTCGTGCTGGGTGTCTGTTTTCCAACCCCACAGCACTTCCTAAGCGTCCTCAAGTGCACACGTTCCCCGAATGAGGAACGTCCTCCTGGTCACGGCGACCTTTGCATCGGCCTCTGTGCGACCCTTCTTCGTGACCTTCTGCCTCATCGCCAAGGCCATTGTGATCCCGACTGTCAGTAGAGGGGAGAGCTCAGAAGCCTAACCCTCAAGACAAAACCCAATGCTTATGACCGATACCCGGAAAGTTTGGGGCTTCGGGAGTATCGGTAGCTGCGGTAGCTTCATGCCCTCACACAGGTCGTCTTTGACCAAGGGTTTGGGAGCCTTAAGCGATGGAAGACCCACTCCAAGCCTCCAAGCACATCAGCTTTCAGATAGATATACATAAGCGCAAGAATCCAAAAAATCAGGCCTCTCCGTGTTGTATATCTTGTTGCTATACGGTGTGTGCCGGCAAGGGTTTCAATATGCACGAAGTTGATGCTGCTTTTCGGGTCTGGATGCGATGACTGCGACCCAGGCCATAGCGCTTCTAGCTCCCCCGGAGATGTTCGATGTCGACGTGCTCCAGGGTAGCTTGGGCAAACTGTTTCAGCAGTTTCTAGACAGCATCCCTATCTCAGCTTGATCCCCCCCCCTCTGCAATCGGTCGTAAAGTATCTCAACTCTGATCCGGCATGTTTTTAGCACTTTAGCACCTTAAACCCTACAGTAGTCCCACAACGGAAAACCAGGAAAGGCCGCCGGAGGCGGCTACCGTGCTGTTGGGGGTCCCTGGTTGCGCTGTGGGCTCGTGGCCTTGGGCCACGCTGGCCTCGGCGCTACAAGCGTCTTCACCTCCGCTGGCCGTCGGGGTCTTGTCTTGGGAGCCGCCTTAGTACCTGGGCCATATGGGTTGAGAGTTTAGATGAATTTGGGGAATGATATAGGGCTTAGGCTGGTGCAGTAGTGGTGGAGCAAGAGACACACGACATGGATTTTTCGAAGAGAACCAGATGCTTAAGTTTCTGTTTGCCCAAACTCATGCACACTGTAGGCTATTCGTGTACATATTACTCCTAAAGACAGAGGAGTAGGAAAGAGAGCCCTTTCCGCAGATGTTCTCTCGTTGATACTGTGCTCTCTTTGCAGTCGATGAACGGTTGCGACTTGATTCTTGTAATCTGCGGAAATTGAAAAACATGTTGTTTCCGACCAGCTGCGTTGCTGTCGAACTTAGGTACTGTCGCATGCCCTCTTCCGCACTCGGCCATGGACAGAGGTGGCCAAGGAGCGACTGACAACCCGGCTGAAGTCCCAATGAAGTCGGACGCCGGTTATGTTTACACAGGCACTGGGGAGACACATGTCATGATCAAGTGTTGTAAGGGTTTAACATGGCCTATAACTTGAATGATGGACCCTGGTGTCGTTTCATGCTTGGGCACCCGCAAAGATGCGGATGACAGAATCCGTGTGCACAGGCTCGAAATCGCGGTGCAGGGACGGCGGACAAAGAGTCTTATAGGTGACCAGAATCACAGCAGGCTTGGCTGTGCGAGGGCTTGCTGGGCATCTTAATCAAGTTCTGAACGCTCACTTGAGCCTTTGCCGCTAGTTCCAATGGCAGCAAGTATGATCGTGTCGTGTTTGGGGTGGGCAGCCGTGCTCGAGCCTATGGTTAAAAGTCAGTCTCGGAGCCATGGGTCACAACCACAATGGTGTACGGGCCAAGTAGATGCTGCTGTATTGCCACCCAAGTAGCATTGGATGCGGCAGATCAAAGTGCCTTGTCCGTATCGCAGTACGTGCAGGTCGATGTAGTGTATAGCAAAGAGTAAATTATAAGAGTGATGGACTAGAGTGAGAGAGAAAAAGAGTATGAAGCTCGGGGTCTCAAGCATGGTCAAGGAAGCATTGCAGAGCCAGCCTCAATAAACAGACTAGGGCTTTAGGGGTTCTTATTTATAGAATTACAGTGTGGTCGAGGTTGCAAAAGCGGCTGGATAGTCTCATCCCGACGCTGAACCTCCTCTTGCGACGGACACTGCTCAGAGACTCCTGCGTCCAGCAGGCTGGGCTAAAGGAAAGGAGGCGTTTCTCTGGATCCTTGAGGGTCTAGGGTTTAGGGCACGTTGCCACTTCAGAGAGACCTCGGGTTGATGTTAGCAAGCTGTGTGATGTACAATGGAGATCACTGGAGCGGACGGCATGCCTTTTGGTTTCGGCCGTCGGTTGTCGTCTGCATCGTAAAGCATGTCCGGCCAGGCGACTAGGACCGGAGGTGTGTTTTGCGAGGAGAGCAGTGGGGATTCGGGAGCTTGATCAGAACGTTTGGAGTCTGGAGGCCTGCCGTCAGGAAATAGAGAGAGGACAGAGAGGGTCGGACCAGTTTGTCGTTGGAGCGGCTGCAACACGTCCCACTCATCTGTGCAGGAGGTGTAGGCAGTATAGGCATGGTTTTCTGAAAGGGTTCCCAGACTCATGGAAGGTGTTCTTAATTCCCAATTTTCCTACGCCTAACTACTGATGTCAACTCTTGGTTGCACTTAAAGGGCCGCTGTTTGGCTCACGAAACTTTTGACCCCAGCTCAGCTGAACCAGGAATAGCGAGCTTTAGGGCTGCAAAGGGAAGTGCAAGCGAAAACTGGGAGCGCTGGCCCTTCTGGCACAACCATAGTGACAATCAGGCGAGGGGCTTGCAAGCTGAGTCCAGAACAATCCCGAGGTGGTCCAGAACACACAGGACTTGCTGTTTGATGTGTGCAGCTTTGTCGATGCCTCGGAGGGGCTGTGGCGTGGACATGTGTGGACCGATGAAGTCTAAACTGCTTGCAGAGGCCTTGACATATCGTTATGTCTAGAAGGACACGTCGACTTCGCATGACGCAATGCGACTGCGAGCCCAGGGCTGCAGATACGAATCCGGAGCTTGAAGACCAATCAGCCTGAGTTCGGAGTTCGAAACTTGAGAAGCTTAGGACAAGGGCCCGGTGTTAGAAGGACCCTAAACCCTAAACCCCTAAGCTCAGCGGACTTAGTATCTGAAGCACCCCTAAACCCCAGGGTGGTGCTGAGAGGGAGGCTTTTGCTTCTACAGACCTTGAAGTGAGAGTTTCCGAAACGTAGGGGTGCCTTATATTGGGGTCCCCTATTTTTAGTTTATTTTTAGGAAACTCCCAAGTCGTAAGAAGGCCTCGATTCAGGGCGCCTTGGGACTAGAAGCCGCGTCTGAAGCTTGACAAAGCAGGGTTGACAAAAGGCCCTGTATCTAAAGTTCTCAACTTAAATGTTTATGTGCCCGTGAAGTCCCCATGATCTAGAAGGGTGCCCTCGATGTCGGAATTGGGCAGATGTTCCGATGCAATTCACGAATATGAGCTTCATTCCGGCCGACCCATAGCTCAGCTCGGTGATCTCATAGGCAGTCCGAAAGACCCTGAGGTCGAGCGCTGCTGTCCAGAGAAGATGAGCCCGTCCCACGTCGGGGAGCCCATGTGGGAATTTTGAGCAGACATTTTGTCACGCCGGTGGAGTTCTGAGTTGCTAAGGCAGCCTCGTCGTCATGTGCAGCAAAAGCGATAGGGGACATCTTGACTTAGCTGTTTTTTGTTAGAGGGGCATTTTATCACGGCCTGGTGAGCATGACACGTCCCGGTCTGTACTGACGGCCATGGCTCCGATGTCACGAAAGCATACTGCTGTTCCCTCAAAACCGGCGAGGTCGCCGGGTGTACTTCCCTCGACCAACAGCCCAAGTACTTGCCAGAGACATCGTGTCCACGTTTTTCGCATCTGTCGGCAAGACCCAGAACCTGGAACAGCCAACACGGGTTGTGGGTTCTCAAGACGTCCGAGTTGCTGCTCGGCATTTGTGCTCGCAGTTTGTTCCAACTTTCTAATTTGAGGTCAATGTCCTTGTTACTTTCACCGTCATGTTTTCGACAATGGCCATTATGATATTGATGGTGATCGTGATGTTGTTGTTGGTGATGTTGGTATCAAGAATGTTCATGATGCCGGCGGTGGCGGAGATGATTATCATTATCTCTATGATGATGGCTGTTGTAATTCTTTGCTCTGGTGAGACCTGGAGCAGCTGGAGTGGGCCGACATTTCTAATTATCTGGCTGCGGCTGCTGCTGGGCATTCTGCTGCTGCAGCTGCTTCTGCTTCTCGTGCTGTTGCTGCTGCTACCATAGCCATCGCCGTCGCCGCAGACACGACCACGACCGCGACCACCACCACCACCGCCACCACCGCCACAACCGCCAGAACCACCAGAACCACCAGAACAACCACAAACACCAGCACCACCAGCACCGCGACACCGCGACAACAGCCGCTGCAACGACAACAGCAGCAGGAGCGATCATGCATTGAACTGACGCCTCGGAGTCATGATGTCGAATTCCTGCTGGCTCTACCGTGGCTCTAGCTCTTGGCATGAAATCTTCCTCATGCGTGTATAACAGGAACGGGGCCGGCAGAACGCTACTGAGCCAGTTCTCAACAACGACGGAGACATCGGAAAGTCCTACACCCATGGAGGCGTAGCGTTTGGTAGGTCTGCCTGTTTGCAAGCATGTGTGGGAACTCCGGCACTTCTAGCACATAGAAAGAAAGAACGGTTTAAAGATATGCAGACCG